GCTCAGTCGGTAGAGCATGAGACTCTTAATCTCAGGGTCGTGGGTTCGAGCCCCACGTTGGGCGCAAGAATTTTAAACTCAATGTTGAAAAGAGATTTGAACACACAATTCCACATAAAAAGACTCATGCCCACGCTTGCCTGCATCCAGCCTTCGGTACATTGTTCACACCCAGTAAGGCAATATATATAATACAAGAATAATATAATAACGGCTACATGAAACAACTCAGAAGAAACGCAATGTGCACTTGTCAGGATGGCCGAGTGGTCTAAGGCGCCAGACTTAAGGATGGACTCCTTCCTGAGTAAATGGGATTTCTGGTCTCCAAATGGAGGCGTGGGTTCAAATCCCACTTCTGACAGACATTTTCACACTCAATGCTAGATGTTTTATGAAACTCTGAGTAAAACGACAGAGGATGACATTAAATCACCTGCACGGTTGTTAAGCATGCCCTTGAAGCATTGATCTTGTCTCTCTTGATGGTCATCAGACGATGCAGCCAAGTTCATCGCAATGTAAAAGCTCAGCGCCCAACGTGGGGCTCGAACCCACGACCCTGAGATTAAGAGTCTCATGCTCTACCGACTGAGCTAGCCGGGCTGCTAACAAACACCGAAAAACGTCCATTTAGAACAGAACTCCCTACCCTCGTTGGGTTTACAACAAAAATGTAAACAATCACAGATGCACTACCGACAAGAACAAAAGAGAAGTTACCCATGAACACACTCGCCTACGTGCAGCCTACAACACATTGTTCACACCCAGTTTAACCCAACTGACCGATCAGCTGTTTCTGTATTTTGTTGTCTTGCAGGACATAGCCAATACTAGCTGACACAAAATAATTAGAATTTCCCAACTGAAAATGACTCATGATGACTTATCTCCATTTTTCTCTCGTAGATGACCAAAGTTCTGCTGGTTTCCTTTTCTTCTTTGAGGTTTCTTAGTGACTGGCAAACAACTGTTTTGTACTAATTAACTATGCTTGTTTTGAATGACTAATAGCTTCATTAAGAACTGCAGTATTCAGTACACTGATGTACTGTCAGAGCTGGTTCGACTGCTACAATGTTTGTCACGTTTCAATCAGTTGTCCAACATGAGTCTCAAACCCACGATCCTGAGATAACTAGCCAGGCAACGTGAAAGTAGAAAAAAGTTAACACATAAAACCTGCTCACAGTTAGCTTAAACACTAATAGCACCTGCTCAAGACTGACATTTTTGCATTCAGGTGTTGAATAGAGGACAGTTACATATGACAAATACCCTGACATGTGACAGATGTCAATGACTTTATATTTCACAGTCTAAAACAGCTGCGCCCAACGTGGGGCTCGAACCCACGACCCTGAGATTAAGAGTCTCATGCTCTACCGACTGAGCTAGCCGGGCTACATACAGTACCGTACATACAGCCAATCGGTGACACTCGCCAGCCATTTCCTATTACCCTCCCATGTGTTTGGTTTTTGCGTGATGCCCGCACTGTTTTTTAAAAGACACATAACAATTGAAAAACAGAACAAATTAGCCTCTCTGAAAATTTACGAAAGAGACAGATTCAGACGTGAGAGAAAGAAAGAAACAACAAAGGAGGAGAGAGTTAAGAAGAGGATAAGCTGTGTCGAGAGGGCGCCTGATTTCTGAT